CACTGTGCCTTAATATTCTGTAACTACTCCATCCAAGGTGCTGGATTCATTGTAAACCATCAGGGCTCTGTGTGCTTCCTCTCCCTTCCTCTACCAGGAGCTCTGGAGTGAATAGGGTGAGGTCTTCCATCTCAAGCAGGATCCTGGAGACCTCTTGGCAGATCCAGGGCACTGTGGCTGGCTGGTTTGGTGTCCATAGCAACCATCACTGTTGGCTCCATCTGAGCATCCCAGGATGAAAAAGCCAGCACTATTACATGGAGAACCTCAAAGAGAGCAATGCCAGACATTGCTGGACAAAAGGGGCGTGGTCAGGTGTGGCCAAAGGGAAGGGGCTGGTGGGCAGAGGGTGCACAAAGGAAACCAGAACACCTTGGTCATTGCGAACCTCTCTTTGTTGCATTTCCTTTATAGCATGTGGAGGCTCTTTTTCTATTCTCCATGGAGATTTTGTGAGAGTAGATAAAATGACAGTGCTCTGCAATTATTCCCCAAAGAAAATAAATAACCATATAGTAACATAAATATTTATGGACTATTAATGCAATATATTTTAATGACTAGTCATGATGACTTCCCAGTGGTTCTCCACCATTGTTTCACAGTAGAACAGAAATAAGAAATTAATCAAGGTTTAAGTGTTGATTTCCGTTACAGGCACTTTCTGCAGATTAGTGTTGTCAAAGCCAAAGCTTCCATTTGCATGATCCAGGTGTTGTTGAAACAGAAAATGACTTGTATAACCTACAGTCCAGAGTTTGGAAGAATACTGAGGAGGGTGTGCTTCGCTAAGAGTCAATGGTTATCAAAGTATGGTCCCTGGACCTGAAGCATTAGCATCACCTGAAGACCTATTAGGAATGCAGATTCTCAGGAGCCACTCTAATTCTGTATTAGGTTCCTATCTATAGCTGCTGTAACAAATGACCATACACTTAGCAGCTTAAAACAGCATAAATGTATTACCTTACAGTTCTGGAGGTCAGAATTCTTACATGTATCTTACAAGGCTAAAATCAAGGGGTCAGCAGAGTTGTGTTACTCCTGGAATATCTAGGCGAGAATCCGTTTCTTACATTTTCCATCTTCTAAAGACCTGCATTCCTTGGCTTGTGGCTGCATCCCTCCAACCTCTGCTTCCATCATCACATCTCCTTCTCTGATTCTGACTCTCCTGCCTCCATTTTATAAGGCCCTTCTGATTATATTGGGTCCATCCAGATAATCCAGGATAATTTCACCATCTCAAAATCCTTAATTCAATCACATCTACAAGGTCCCTTTTGCCATGTAAGATAATATATTCATAAGTTTCAGGGATTAGTGCACCATTATTATTGTTAAAGACCATTATTCTACTGACCACACCTACTGAGTCAGAAATGCTGGGGATACAGCCAGCAACCTATGTCGTAATAAGCCCTCCAGGTGATGCACTCACATTTGAGGACCATGACTCCAAACCACAGCATGTGAGAGAGAGCTGGAGACATTAAGAGCACTGAGACATGAGTGTGGGGTCTATCTTCTGTTCTGCATCTTCCCCAGGGTTGAAAACTTTATGAGGCATGGGGCGAAGTTGCTGAATAGAGTCACAGATGAATCTGAGAATCCCAGATCAGAGAAGCTCCTATCTTGTTCCCTGGAGGAGGGCTTCCACATTATTTTGGAGTTATGTGGAGGGAGCCAAATAAACCACAGGGTGGCCAATTTAGCCAGAGAATGACTGACAACTCATTGCCCCCTCCACCCCATCATGGTCCATTCAGGCTGCTATAACAAAATATCATAGGCTAGGTGGCTTCTAAACGATAGAAATTTATTTCTCATAGTTCTTGGAGCTGGGAACTCCAGGATCAAGGTGCTTGCAGATTTGGTGTCTGATAAGGGCCCTCTTCCTGGTTCATAGACTTCCATCTTCTCCCTCTGTCCTCACATGGTGGAAGGGGAACAGGGTCTCTCTGGGGTCTGTTTTATAAGGGCACTGATCCCATTCATAAGGATGGAAACTCCCAAAGGCCCCACCTCTTAGTATTATTGTATCAGGGATTAGGTTTCAATATATGAATTTTGGGAGAAATACAAACATTCAGTCCATGGCACTCGTCATGGCTTCTTTGGCTTTGGGTGGGAAGGAGAAGGTCTGGAAAAGTTGCTGAGGCTCCTCAAGAGAGTAGGGAAGAGAGCTTGGAATTAGGAATGAGGGTGCCTTGGCGGTGTGGCTGGAAGAGTGCTACAACAGAGGCCACTGGGTGGGCAGCCTTGAGCTGGGGCTAAAGTGAGGATGAGAAATCTCAGCTGGTGGATGATTCAAATGTGCTTTCCCCAAAAGCTGGGAAAATACATCAGCCCTTAGGAACCTAGATCCTGAGGAAAGGAGCAAGGAAAAGAGAAGGCAAGGTGGGGGGTGGGGGGAGACTCTTGAATTCAATTGCAAATTCATCTGGAAGATGCTGTTTGAAACCAGAAAGGACAAGTTTACCTGAAAGCATTAATAAGGGTTCAAATACATTTCAATTTTTGGACAACACATACAGTTTTTCGGAAAACAAAAGAGACCAAGCATGACATACAAAAAGCCTTCACGCCTTGTCCATGTCTGCACAATAATTGATGTCCCTAGTTCATCGTAAGAAACCAATTAAGAGTTAAGAGCAGAGTGAAGCCCTCAATACATCCACAATTCATTGTATTCTTAGAGGAAGGCTTGATGAAAAAGCGATTCAACAACGGGACCCCTGGCAAAAAGTATTTCCCCTTCTCCAGCCCTGCTGTTCTACCCCAGAGCAGGATGCAAAGTACCTTTAATACCTGGCTACACAGCATCACCTGTGAAACCCCACCCATCCCTCTTTATCTCTTCCTTTTCTCTATTTTCCCAGTGCTGTCAGTGGGAAAATGGACCATTCTCACAAGAGACCCAGGGTAAGAGGGAGGAATTAGGAAAATCATCCAGTGAATATGTGATTTATTTTATTACACAGGGAGCTGATAAAAGGCCTACGAATAAATTTTATTATATTATTGGAATGGAACATTGAATTTCATCAGCTTCATTATACTAGTGATAAAGCCCATGTTCTGGCATGCCAGTATGGATGGATGGTGTAACTCTGAGAGAGAGGGAAATTCCACACAAACAGCTCTGATGGGGTGGTAGTACCTCCTGCCCACTAAAAGTCCCTGGTCCAGCTCACATATAATGCTCCACTCAGGGATTTAGGACTCCTGGACACTTGCTGTAGAGAGAGGCTCAACATAAAGTGTTTCTCTACTGATTTGTCTTGTAGGCCAGTGTCTCCCTCTGAGATCTCTGGGATCATGGGTGACCAGGCCAGAACTAGATGGGTGTTTCTGAGTCTCACCAAAATAACCAGCTGAGAATTCCATGTCAAGATACAGAAGCAAAAAGGAAGAAAGTGAGATTGGGAACGAATGGGAAGGTTGAAGATAGGGAGACCTCAATATGATCGTAGTGTGAAGTTGCTTACTTCTTTGCCTGCCCTGTATCCCTTCTCTTTGGATTTTGGTGAGACTGTCATTCAAGGGGCCCCAGCTCCCCACCATAGGGGTGGGCATGTGACCCAGGCTGGCCCATCATCCTATACCCTCGGCTCCAGTGATTGGTTTAGTGATGGGCACATGACCTGAGAAGGGCCAAAGATTTTGGTAGGATGATTGTTAAAGGGAACTGGGAGGCCAGGCGCAGTGGCTCACACCTGTAATCCTAGCACTCTGGGAGGCCTAGGCGGGAGCATTGCTTGAGCTCAGGAGTGGGAGACCAGCCTGAAAACAAGACCCCGTCTCTACAAAAGATAGAAAAACTAGCTGTGCATGGTGACAGGTGCCTGTAGTCCCAGCTACTCGGGAGGCTGAGGCAGGAAGATCGCTTCAGCCTAGGAGTTTGAGGTTGCCATGAGCTATGATGATGCCACTGCACTCTAGCTGGGGCGACAGAGTGATACTGTCTCAAAAAAAAGGGAGGGGCAGTGGGAGATAAAAGGTATCCTTTTCAGCTGCTGAGCTGTAGCGTCCATGTTAAACTGAAGCTTCTAGAGCCCATCAAGTGGACAGTCTGGTAGAGAACGAAGCCAAGATAGAAGAAAATGGAACAGAACAATGAAGAAAAACCAAGGCCTAATAACACAGTTGGAGGCTCTTGACCTGCCATATCTGCAGATCTACCCTTTGGATTGATGTCCAATTTTTGAGAGCCAATACATTTTCTTTAAACTATTACAAGTTGGGGTTCCATTTTTTTTGTAACAGAACTAATTCCTCACAAATCTCTAGGGACAGATTCAGTAAAGAATGAGAAATAATGTTTGACAGAGAAAATGGGCAATGCCTCAATGTCCTAGGGGAGGAAGAAAGTGATGAGACTAAAGATTAAAAAAGAGGAAAGAGGTGAGGGTGGGTAATATTACCATTCAGTGACCCTACCCCCTAGAAAAGCAAATTTTTTTTTTTTTTTTTTTGACAGAGTCTCACTCTTGCCTGGGCTAGAGTGCCGTGGCGTCAGCCTAGCTCACAGCAACCTCAAACTCCTGGGCTCAAGCCATCCTCCTGCCTCAGCCTCCCGAATAGCTGGTACTACAGGCACATGTCACCACCCCCAGCTAATTTTTCTATTTTTAGTAGAGAGCAGGTCTCGCTTTTGCTCAGGCTGGTCTTGAAATCCTGGCTTCAAGCAATCCTCCTACCTCGGCCTCCCAAAGTGCTAGGATTATAGGTGTGAACCACCTCGCCTGGCCTATACTTAGTATTTAGAATAGGGTTCAGACTAGGAGGTGGTCTGGTCAGTGATAAATTCTATTGGGCTGTACCATAAGAAACTGATGATTGTTTTTGACTCAAAAAAGGGAATTTCTTATGGTTCAAGCTAATACATCACTATATTCTAAACTGATGGCTGTTTATTTAAGTTACTATTTAGATAAAAGTTACATTACTAAGTTAGACAAATTATTATCTGAAAGTATAAGAAGATAGAAAAAGTAAGTGAAAGTAGATGTTTATTGCAGAACCATTTTTTTCTATTAATTAAATGCTTTAAACAAAAAACTATAATACCATGAACTGACAATGACCTGGTAGCATGCAAACACTTCAGGCTGGAGAGGTGTGTTTGTTCTTAATGAATTTACATATAATAATTTTTATGACATTTTATTCCAAAATGTATATATGATTTGGCCTGACATGATTAACAATTTAAAGTAAAACATAAACATAAGGGCAATTTAAACATTGGTATTAATTCAGGAGTCAATTCAAGGTCAGTGACTGGAGACCTATTCTAAAAAAACTTGAGGTCAAATAATCTTTAGGAAGCAACGCTGTACTGATGTACATTTGAAGACCAAGGGTAAAAATCCACTCTCAATGAATACCATGAAGCAAAGGATGTATAACATCCATCACACATCTGTTTCAAAAACAGCATGTTTCCAAAATTATAAATCTCTTTACAAACAGACATTACAGTATTAATAACTACAGAGACACCATCAGCATGAGTTCCAAAATACGCTGCTGACTTTCACAAGGCATCCCTGAGCCAACTCTTAAGGCATCCATTTTAATCGTGGGGCTTTAAGAACATCTTCTTTGCTTTAATCAGTTTTACATCTCCATTTTCATCTTCTTCATAACTGGCACGGTCTCTCTTCTTGGCAAACTTTTTCCCAATTGTCCCCACCAAGGTCTCATATCTGTTAAGACAATACACGGCACCAGTTTCACTTCAAATAAGAAAAGTAGGAATCAAGCCTTGTCAAGAATACCAAACCAAATATGCAACAAAAAGAATAAAAAACCAAAAATGATCATTAAAGGCAACTGCCTGATTAAAAAATGTATAAACTTCTCTAAGAATGATTAAATTCTCTCTTTTGTTTTTTTACATGATCCTAATTGAGACGTATATTTTAAAATATGTACTGGAAGCAGCACTGGAAATGAGCCCAACTGCCAGCCTGTGATAGGCCTGAAAGCCCCTGAGCCCACGTAAGAGAAGGCAGATTACAGGAACCTTCCTGCTGAGGCATCCCCTTCACAGCTGCGGTAGGCTGCGGGGTAGGAGAAGTGTACATGGGAGAGCCATGAATCTGGGGTCCAGATTATAAAGCTGCCCCACTGCAATGGTTACCTTCTAGCCATTTCTTCATCTGACACATCGACCTCCTCTGTTTTATCTTCAACAACTTCTGCTTTGTTCTTAGCATTCATCTGAAGCATTAATTTCTGAAAAATACACCAACGCGGACCATCAGGGCTAGAAAAGGCTTGTGAAAGGAAGTGGTGTCAAACTTATTTGAAGGTAAAGAAATCAAAGCCACAGAATCTAGAGAACTAGTCAGAATTCACAAGGGATTCTCTGTAATATTAATACTTCAGAGCACAATGTGCTAACACAGCTCAGCTCTGAATCAAAAAAAATAGTAAGATAAAGCCCTGCTAGATTATATTTAGTGCCAATTAATTTAATTTGTATTTGAGATCATAAATCTTGTTATTAATTACTCATATCTAAAGCAGGCCCACTGCTAACACATTCCAGCGAGAGGGAGAAAGAAAAAAAATAAACTTTCAGATTTCTTCTGAACTTCCCTTTTTGAGCCAAACGGAAGAAGTACTACAGTTAACAGTAATTTTAAATTCATCTTTTGGTGGTGGTGGTGGTGGTGGTGGTGACGGGTGGGGGTAAGAGGACAGCAAATTACTGGGTGCAAGAACTGGAAGGCTGGCCCTGGTATAATGGAGGGAATCTGTATCTTAGCCTCAACCCTGACCTTTGGGGTGGATAATGCATCTCATGTGAAGTCCCTGTGCCTCAGGAGTCTCCCCATCTTTTCATCGCATTAACTTTCTGTGACAGTTATCCTCTGACAGATTTTTTTTTAAATGTATAATCCCTTCTTTATAGCAATGGGAGGATAAGGAGGAAAAAGCAGATGAGAAACCAGTCTCAACTAGCTTTTCCAATGTTTAAAGGACTGATAATAAAATAGTTCAAGACCTTTTCCCAGGGAGAGTGTATTGAGTGTTACAGAATCCAGTAATTAGGGCCATTTTCTAATGTCCCCCATACCAGATTCTGAGGGCTGTGTTCCTACGCCTTTCCCATTGTACCAGACACTTCGGAGGGCCTGTCTACCCACATCCTATTCTTTGGGCATCACACACTCAGAGAAACTGCCTTTTTTGTCCCTTCTTTACCCCACTGCTGCCCTTTTCTTCCCCATCTAAAGCTTACAGTAAACCAAAGCAAATAAAGTATATATGAAAAATAAACACTTTTGGTGTTGACTGTGTAAACATAACACCTTAATTATCACAGATACCTCCTCCTACCACCCCCCACCCCCAAGAAAGAACAGAAGGAAAACCAACCTACAATCATCAAATAAACTCTGGCACTTGGCTTAGTTACCTTCAGGCATCCTGGAGAAGTGGTTTGTAAGTGGGGATGACTTTGCCCAGCAGGGGACCTCTGGCAATGTCTGGAAACATTTTTGGTTGTCACAGTTGGGTTGGAGGGTGGTGAGTGTGTGCTGGCATTTAGTGGGTAGAGAATAGAGGTCAGGGATGCTGTTAATTATCCTATAGCCACCGCCACAAAGAATTATCTGGCTCAAATGTCAATACTGACAAGGGTGAGAAATCCTGGCTTAAAGTGGTATTTACAAAACTAAAGATCTATCTCACAAATGTCCATTTGGCTGGTCAAGTACCTGATAAGATAGCTTTTAACACATGAGTTAGAGTTCTAATAAATGTTTGTTAAATAAAGGTCTGCTTCTCTACAAACCTGAGGCAAGAAGATTAAAATGAACAGCTCAGTTGAAGGCAAACATTCACTTTTCAAACAAACTTTCCAAAGGATTCATTTAAATATCTATTTACAAGTTTGGATTAAAACCTGTCTATTAAAATTATAGAATTTTTAAGTAACATTTTTCCATTAGAAAAGATATATTTATAAATGCCAGAAAACTTTTCGTAATAGCATCATATGAATAAAATCTTGACTCAAGCTGAAATTCTAACACTTACTGTGGCACCATCAGGGACTGTCTCCTGCTGTATTAAATTATCTACTCAACTCTACCATAAAACCAGACTGCTATGTCTGCAATTTCTTTAAATACCTATGGCGATATTTCAAGACATGTTATTTTCTACAGAATGAGGAGAAATCGTACCTGGTGGGGAAAAACCTAAGCCCAATTATTAGCAGAAAAAAATTCAATTGGAAAATTTTAAAGTTTGAAGCAATTATGTTTACTACCTCAACCTCAGGATTAAATCCTCTGAATGACATTCTTCCATAGAGAAGATCTTCACATAACAAGAAACTCTGCTCTTCTATTATGAAACTCCTAAATGGGAAAATAAACCTACATTAATAGCTTGTCTACTTATAAAAAAGCACAGCAAAGAGAAGTCAAGACTTTCAATGAAAAATCAATCTTACAGTTCTCAGTAGAATCAAGTAAAAATACAGTAAGATTTCTAACCTAGGTTTAAAAATAAAATCTGATTAATTTGGCCACTATAGGCATTAGGAGACAAGAGCTACAGGCTGGAGGCACAGCCTCTTCTAAGGGTTACATTAATTTGCATAAATACCTACATAATATAAAGATCTAAAGTATGTACAAGACACAATTTTCCAAAGTGGAAGCAAAGTTTCTTTGATGTTTACATCTCCCCACTAAGTTCTTATTAAATATCCAGGAGGGGCTGTGGGAAATAAGAGACTGGGCAGCATTAACAGAGTGTATCAGCTAGAGCTCTTAGCTGTAAACACCAAAGACTGACCCTGGATGACTTATGCAGAGAAGGAATTTAATGTAGGGATACAGTTGGCTCTCTGTATCCACAGGGAATTGGTTTCAGGACCTCTGTGCAGGTACACAGGGCCAACTGTACTGGGTATCTCATGGAATCACTGGGAAAGCTGGCTGAACAGAATTGAAAAATGGGTAGAAATAGGGGTAGCTAGGTAGTTGAACCAAAACCAAAATCATGCTACAGATCTACTCTAGTAAAAGCAGTGTTGCTGCTGAGATGGCTAAACACTGCATACCACAAAGGGCATTCTGGCAGGCCACTATTCCCTGGGAAACAGGATGTCAACTTCTCCAAAAGGGGTTCTCATGACCCCACATCTAAGGTAAGCATATCTGTCTAAAGCCCTGCTATAAACCCTAAAGCACAGCGGGAAAGCAAATAACTCGCCTTTAGCCTTCTTCGGTGGTGAGTAGGCTCTGCTTTTCATCAAGATTCACTCATTCAGTAAACATTTATTAAACCAAACTGTATGCAGGCACTGTTCCAGAAGCTAGGGAAACAGTTGTGAATAAAAGAGCTACTATTCTCATGGAGGTCTAGAGAGTCTAGAGAGTGGTGCCCAATAAGAAGTAAAACATTTATGTCATACGATGCATGAAATTAAAGCAGGCTATTTCATTCCTAGCCGTAAGGGAATAACATGTACCAAACTGTCTCTTCCTCACCATAACTATTAGGTCATTAAATATGAAATGTCTGACTTAGAATCAAAAGTGATAGGATTAACTATTATCTGGAATAGTTCAGATAATACTAGCAAAAAAAAAATCACGAATACAAATGGGTAAACAGGAATGGGTGAATTTCATAATTTCATATATTCAGTTATAAGGAAATACACATACTGCCAACATTTATCATGGTTTATATCTAGCACTGTGGTGAATCCTTTAAATACATTATCTCATTTGCTTTCACAATGTATATATATAATGTATTATACCCAATATACAAATGACAAAAGACAGGTTAAGTAATTTGCCCAAGGTGAAAAGTAAGCAAGAGACAGAGCTGGACATCAAACCCAGGTCTGCACAGAGCCATGAGAGTTTCCCTATTTAGGGTATTAAAAACAACAACACAACACATATCCCAAGGACATATCATCCATTTGTCCCTCCAGACCTACTTCCCATCTTCTCCCGGCTCTATTGCCTGAAAGGCTGATCTGAATGTAGTACGTGGAAGGGCTCCTTGGTTGCCAGGCTCCTGGTTCCCTTCCTGTAGGATTACCCTAGGCTGGCTGTGCCCTTGAATGGAAATAGGAGCTTTTGTAAGATGCTCTCTCCACACAGCCTGTCTTAAGATTCAGTAACCACTCCCTGCCCTTGACCTTGCAGGCAGGAGAGGAAATTACTTCCACCACACAAGCCCAGGGGTAGTGCACTGTCCCTGGAGGACACCCTATGCCCCACCCATACCTTGCTAGTCTCTGTTATGTTCTCCTCAATCTGATAGTGTCATCTTTTCCTGCCAACATCCTGAGCTGATTTACACACCTATACATAAATAGGATGCTGAGAGATGGCAAAAAGTTATTATTTACCTTCCCAGGAAAGGAATCTAAAGGTCATTTTCTGAAAATAATATACTGTGTTGGGGGAAAAGAAGAATACTGAAAACAAGAAAGAAACAGTTCTGCTCTTCAATAAACAACTAGAACACTAAGTTAAGTCAAGGCCTAAAATTAAATTATAGTTCCTTATCAGTAATGGCCTTTTTCTGTCTGTTGCCCCTCCCTCATCCACACTACCTCAGGCATTACCTTCTCCCTCCTCACCAACATTTTGCTTCCTCTGAGAGGCAAGTAGAGGGGAAAAAAGTACCGTCCTCCCAACCCTCTGGATGGGGATATTTTCTATCTTTAGAGAAGGCTATAGAATCTTCAAAAAAAAGGTCCAGAGGTCAGCCAAATGAACAAGGGAACATAACATGCTAAAACAAAAAACAAATGATGAGGTACAGAATGGAAAGACATAAAAGTGCCTGAAGACAGCAGGCAGCATCTTCATTTGACAAAAGTTTAAGTAAAACTATCACACCACAGAGCTTACTAAGGTTAAGAAAGAGAATCAGGGAGAAATGATAAATATATTCCAGAAGGATTTAGATAAATTAATGGATGATGGGAATCCACCCCTCCATTCAAAACTGTTTATTAAGCATCAGCCAAGCTTACGGGTCAAAGAGAGACAGTCTAGCAGTGTGTTATCTCAGCTTCAGCACTGACTAGCTGGGTGACCCTGAGCAGGTTACCCTCTCTTAAACTTTGGTTCCTCAACCACAAAACGGACAGAATGACAGCAGGCAGCTCTTAAGTTTGCAATTAGGATTCAATAACTAAGGGATGCAAAGTGCTTGACTTAGTTCCCCATACACACTATACAGTCTATAGTATAGACTCAGTAAATATTACCTAAAATGAATAGTATTAAAAGTAGTAAAAATTGAAAAATAAAGAAACAAAAACTCCTGACCTGCCTTAAGGTGCTCAGCCTAATGAAAAACTCTGTTACTGAAACAAAACTGGAGAGGCCTGAAGTACACACCTTATCTTTGCAACTTAATATGAGAGAGCACATTACAGCTTCCCATAAAAGATTCCCTATTATTATCCAAGATATATGGGCTAGATTCTTTTAGTCAATGTAAAAAAACACACCATTGTTACAAATAATGGCTGGGGGCCAGTAAAAATGTATGAATCCATGTAGAACTTTTACAGGTTTCATATATTTTAGAAAACTATTTGTGAGGCTAACTCAAGAAACTGAACAGAAACCATTTTATGGGCTTTATATCACTGGAATGGTAAATCAAATTTATAGGGATTTCCCTCTCGATGTCCCAGGCATGATCAATACAAATTCTAATAAACCTACTCTTTCTCTGTCAGTGCTGGCAAATCCAAGTACCAGTGCTCTTCACCAATGATTTTCTTTTCTTCCTCTTCTAGTTGTTTCTTCGTTTCTGAGTCCAGTCCCCTTTGCATGAACTGTCAAAACCAAAACAAAATCAGTGTCAGCAACAAAATTTTCCCATCTCAGAGCTGAGAAAAACCCAAATAACTTTCTTCTCCCCCTGCCCCGCCTCCTTCATTTCTCCAAGGATCCCATCTCACAATCAAGGGGGCAGGGTGATCAGTTTAGCTCCACCCTTCCAACTTTACACCAGAATACAAAGGACTGCGTGCGTCAGAGCACATAAAAAAGCACAATGTGTGCTTCCTCTGGAAAACTTAAAAAAAAAAATTCTTAACATATTTTAGTTTTTCTGATTTAAACAGGCAACAAAAAACTATTCCACAAGTTATCATACTCGATATTTTAATTTTACATAATATACAAAATAGCTCTATACATATGGAAAGGATGGAGCACCCTGTGAGTATGAGTCAAACACCTCCAGACTTAAGTAGCAGTTCAAGTTTCCCACTCTATAGCATCTCAGAACACACTCTAAAGCTAGAGATTCAGCCTCCCTCACAACTCAGGGCCTACAGCAGGCATTGGCAAACTACAGTCCTCAGGATAGATGTCTGTTGTTGTCAATAAAGTTTTATTGGAACACAGTCATGGTCACTCAATTCTGAGCAACAATGGCAGACTTAAGTTGTTACAATAGAGATTGGCCCACAAGCCTGAAGTATTTATTATCTGGTTCTTTACAGAAAAAGTTCACCAAGCCCCATCCCAACAGTGCACCCCCCCAACTCCCTGTTCACGACTGAAAACAAGTGAGTCAGGATTAAATCCTCAACCTCTCACACTTGTCCTATACAGCTGCGGTCCCTAACCCCCAGGCCCCAGACCAGTACCAGTCCATAGCCTGTTAGGGACTGGGGTGCAGACCTTCACCCGTTACCCCCCAACCCTTCTGTGGAAAAATTGTCTTCCATGAAACCGATCCCCAGTGCCAAAAAGGTTGGGGACTGCAGTTATACAGTGCTTAGCTCTGGCTGCACAGTTACGCTGGCTATGACTCCTTGAGTGCGTCTGCTCCATGCCTTCTCACAGTATACTCAGCTCTATCAGTACACTTAGTGTCTCCGGCTCTCCTTGTCAGTAAGTTCTTTCTTATCGATGAGGGAAGCTGCTAACCCAAATAGAGAACCCAGGTAACTTCCTCGCTTTCCTTTGCTTCCAATGTCCAGTTGAGTCTTCCCCACTTGGGTGGGAGTGTGTAACCATTTTAAGTTAATTTCTTCCTTCTTAACTCCAGAGACAGATCTTTAGTCTGAGTGCTAATCCCCCGGCACATCATTTAGCTTATTCCATGAGCTAAAACAACTGCTAAAATCTTTTAAATGCCTGCTTGGCCAATCCACTCCCATTCTCTGAAATCGATGTGATCATAAACCACTGTTTCAGTTGTCTCAGCTGTAAAAGAGGGGTAATGATCGTAGGCACCTCAAAGAGTTATTATGTGAATTATATAGGTTAATATATGCAAAGCACTTAAAACAGTGTCTGGCACACAGCAAGGACTGTGTTTGCTATTTTTGATACCGTTCCCCAGGCTCAACAGTTTCCTACTGCTCACAGGATAACGGAAAATACCCTTAATTTGATCTAAAATTCACTGCCTGCTTTTCCAGCCCCATTTCTTGCTACTTGCCTTCCAGACATACTGAATCACATTCAGTGCTTGGAAATCTCCATGTTTCTCTTTTCTTTCTTTCCCCTCAGTTTAGGACGCTGTGCCTCCCACCCTCCCACTTACCCTTCACATTCTAGGTAAAGAACACTACCTGCAAAAAGCCCCAGTAAGCTCCCAACCCATTCCGGCGCTTCTACCATCACTGCACTTGATATACCGTATCCTTATTGCTTGCTTATGTGCGTGCAAGCTCCTGTCCTACCCCAGGGTTCATGAGAGAGTCTGCCTAATTCACAATCTGGCTCCCAGAGCTTAACGCAGAGCAGACGCTCAGTGAATGAATGAACGCAAGCTGGAGGCCCTCTGGAGTGTCTCTGGTGTCCCCCGTAAGCCCGCCGCCTCTGCCCCGGCCAGGTCAAGAGGACCTGTGTCCCTACTCTACCATCCGGCTTGGCTCCCCGAGAGTTCCCACACCTTCATGCGCAGCAGGTTCTTGGACAACTTGGTCTTCCGCTCGGCCGCCATGGCGGCTCCAGGCCGGCGCAGCGCTCCCGCTACGAGCTCGACCGCACATGCACGCTGCCGCATGCGTAGTCGCGCCGCTTACGTAACGCGCGCCCCGCCCCGCGGCTCCGCCCCCTTGTCTCGCGCTCTGGAGCTTCCCGGGCTCCTCACGCGTCACCTCAGGGAGCGCTCGGCTGACAGGGAAGCTCCGGGTAAGCGCGCGCGTCGCCGGCGCGGGGAGGAGAGCGGCTTCCTGCCAGTCGGCAGACGCCAAAGAGGCCGAAATCAGAGCAGGCCCGAGATCTTGGCCGCTGCGAGCTGTGGGCCACCTTTCCCGGGGCGTCGGCCTGGTCCCGGTGAGGCCCAGCCCCTCGGGGACCCCCGTCCTGCCACGCCTCCCAGGCTCGGGCGTCCTAACGAAGCCTTTGCGACTGTTGCCTCACCCGCCAGCCGCCTGGACCGTTCGTTCATTGTGTCTGTGTGACATGGGTGGCGGGCGCCTCTGTTCTGGGTCGCTTTACGCGTTCCAGTTCGTTTAATGTTCGCAATAACCCCGTGAGGTGGTACCGTCAGTCAGACTAGCCCAGAGTTACAGACTGAGGGAGGTGGGTGTAATCCCAGGCAGCCCAGCTTCAATAACCCGCAGACACTATGCTACAAATGCAGTGGAAAACAGTGTTAAATTCACGTATTAATGGTGGTGTGCGTCTTTGTGCCTAAGTGATCTCTCTGTTAAATAGGAAGACTAGCCAGAAACAGGGATAGATGCCAAAACATACGTGCATGAGAAGAAGGCCTTGTTTTAATGTAATGAATTGAAAAAAAAAACATTCAAAACAAGGTAGCTTTAATGCTCTGTGTGCCACCTAAAGATATTTTTCAAACCTTTCACAGGTCCCACGCTTTGGAAAAGCCCCAACCTAATGGCATTTCAGCTAACAGCACGCACTGTATGTCAAATTCTTGAGCTTGATATCTTATGGGTATTACTGAATCCTCATAAGAACTCTGAAGAAGGTACTGTTGCCATCATGTATTTAGGGACTCTGAGACCCAGAGAGGGTAAGCGACTAGCTGGAATTCACATAGCTGATACATGTTAGAACTGAGATTCAAAAAGCGTTTTGGATGTTAAAATCCCTGTAAGGTTTCTCAGTGGCATAAATAAAATCATTATAATATGCCAAGTGGTTGCAGAAGCTTAATCACTTGTAACTATGTGTAAGACACTGGAGTACAATAGTGCATAAAACACGTGACTTCCCTTTCCTGGAGCTGGCATTCTGGACATAAAGAAGTGGTGATTGCCATGGAAGAAAGAAAACAGTGATGTGATAGAGCAACTTTTAAGGTTACTTCAGATAAGGTGGTCCACAATGGTCCTTGTCAGATAATAGTGCTGAGGCTTGAAAGTTGAGAAAAACCTGTTGTATGAAGAACTGGAGCTAGAGTGTTGTAAGAAGAGGGAATAGCAACTGTAAAGGTCCTGAAATGAGAACAAGACAAAGTCCCTGTTGTTATGTAATTTACCAAGTAGGAATAATAGAGCTTAACCACATGTTACAGGCTGAATTGTGTTCCTCAAAATTCATATGTTGAAATCTTAACACCCAGTACCTCAGTATATGACTATATTTGGAGACAGGGCCTTTAAAAAGGTGATTAAGTTAAAATGAGGCCCTTTGTGTGGGCCCTAATCCAATCTGACTGATGTCCTTATAAAAAGAAGAAATTTGAACATAGATACCAGGGGTGTGCAGGCATAAAAGAAAGGCCATGTGCAAGCCACAGAGAGAGGCCTCAGAAGAAACCAGACCTGTTAACACCTTGATCTTAGACTTCTAGCCTCCAGAAGTGTGAGAAAATAAATATCTGTTGAATAAGCCACCTGTCTGTAGTGTTTTGTTATTGTAGCCCTAGAGAACTAATATACCATGTAATTAGCTATAGATTACAGTTGTGATAAGAGCCCTATAAGAAAAGCAGGAGGTTCATAGGAGGGAATACCTAGGACACCTAAACCATTCTGGCCTGGCACAGAGAAGGACTCTCCTAAAGGTGTGACATTTAAGCCGGATCTGAAAGGAGAGGAGTTATCCTGGGGAAAGGCCTTCCAATCATTCATGTTGTTATGCTACTACCATTACCACCATCCATCCATAGAACTCTTCATCTTGCAAAACCAAAACTCGGTATTTATTAAACAATACTTCTCCAGCCCTCTCGCAACCACTATTCTGTTTTCTGTCTCTATGAATTTGACTTCTGTTCAGGATTTTGAAAGAAGTGCTGTGGGAGAAGAGGTGAAGGAAGAAGTGATTCCGTCTGCCATCTGCATCCCAGGAAGCTAAGAGATGACTCTGAACTAGGTCTTCAAGGATGAGCACATGTCTTGTCAGCTTAAGAAGAGGAAAATAGCATTCCTGGCAGAAAGAAGAGCATATGTTCACCATCTAAGGATGCTAGAAGCTCCATACCTTCCCTATGGACCCATGTTGTTACCAGTCTACATGCACACTGGATTCTGATTTGTTTTCCTGTAACATTGACATCATGTCACTCCCTTACTCTAAAATTTGTGATAGCTGTCCTTGTCTGAGGGATAAAGGTCAAATTCTTCAACCTGATACTCAAAATTCTATATTTTTGTTTGACTATGAAAATACTTATTAAAACTAATCCTCAAAGTGTCTTCCTGCCCCTCAAAATGTAAGAAATGAAAAGTGATTTAAGAGTAATAGTGTAATTTTAACTTTAAAAACTCCATGACAGAGAAAATAACTCCTTGATCTCTCTATGCTACTGAATTATAGAACACAGGGGATAGGTCTCATGTTCAATAATGTGTTAATCTGTTGTAGTTACACAGCCCAAGGGAACATCATTTTGAGGGAAGAAATATTTCAAATAGGTCTTCACACAATTCTGACTCCTTTCATAATGGAATTTGTTGGAAGTGTGAAAGCCTCTAATTCTCGTCAACTACTAGATCCATCAAGAAAAGTTCCCCACTGGGTGTGGTGGCTCATGCCTGTAATCCTAGCACTCTGGAAGGCAGAGACAGGAGGATTGCTTGAGCTCAGGAGTTTGAGACCAGCCTGAGCAAGAGTGAGACCCCGTGTCTACTAAAAATAGAAAAATTAGCCAGGTGTTGTGGCATATGCCTGTAGTCCCAGCTACTAGGGAGGCTGAGACAAAAGGGTCTCTTGAGCCCAGGAGTTTGAGGTTCTAGTGAGTTCTGATGCTACCACTGCACTCTACCCAGGGTACAGCGTAAGACTCTGTCTTTAAAAAAAAAACAAAGTTTTCCTGAATCTTTTCACTCCTGTAGCAGATTTCAGGCTGTGCTGCCCAGTACAATAGATGTTAGTCATATGGGTACTGAGCACTTGAAATGTGGCTAGTGTAACTGGGGAACTGAATAATTAATTTTAGTTAATTTAAATTTAAATAGTAGCTGAAATTTTTTTTTTGTATGCATAGGTTTATTGTTTTTGAAGGACTACATTTCACCTTAACTTTTGAAAATGTAACATCTGAATTGAGATGTACTGTAAGTACAAAATACCACATTCCAAAGACTTAGACTAAAAAAAAGTAGTAAAATATCAGCATTTTTTCATATTAATTATTTGTTGAAATAGTAATAGTTTAGATATACTTGCTTAAATAAATCATAGCCTAAAAGTAATTCCCTCTGTTTCTGTTTACCTTTTTAAATGTGGCTGCTAGAAAATTTAAAATTACATGTGTGGCTTTTCTTTCTTTTCCTCTTCCTCTTCCTCCTCCTTTTTCAGAACTGCAGTGGCTATGCATGTCTTCCAGTGCAGAAACTAAAGAAGAATCTGGGGTGGGCACAACAAGGACATCTTTTATACAATGAGACCGTGAAGGTGGTGTATTAAGTCTTAGTTTTTGTTCATTTGTTTGTTTGCAAGCACCAGATATTGAAATAACTTATTAAGCAAAATGGGGATTAATTAGAAACACAATGGGTAATTCATAGAATTAATGAGAAGGCTTGAGAGAAAGGCTAAGTAAAAAGGACAGAAACCAGGGCAGCCTGGGGATCTAAGAAGCAGAAATGAACTTAATGCCACTGTGAGAATGTATGAGCACCAAGTGATTTCTCTGCTCTTAGGGCACTCTACTGAAGTTTCCAAAATCAAGGAGAGAATTTTGTTGTATCTTAGTTAAGGGAGGGCAGGACCTGATTTACAATCCCAGCAAGACTGTACACAAGGGAGAGGGTAACTCTTAAAGAGAAGGTAAGTACTGTTCCTTGAAGAAGAGATAGTCACTATAATAGTCGAAACAGCAAGGCCACGGACAGATACCCACTTAAGGCAGGAAGAAGGAGAGTTACTTCGAGACAGCCCAGAGAACAAATAAATGAGTGTCAGTTGGGAAACTCCAAATTCATGTCCAGCATCAAATCTATCTCACAAAATGTGCTCCCTCTCCCTGTTTCCCTGTTTCATTCATTAAGCAAGTGTTTATTGGCTTCCTGTTACATGCACATTGTGACTCCAGGTCAACCAGTTTAAAAATGTAGTAGTGTAATATTAATACATCTCTTCTGTTCTTACATTCAGTTACTTATCGAGTTCTGTCAATGACTTGTTCATGGGTATTGTGGTTAAGTCAGAATATTAGTGCTGGAAATGGCCTTATAGGACATCCAGGTAATTCCTAAATATCAGTCAGTCATGAGAATGACCAGGGGAAATTAATATAATTTAATATGAAATTAATATCAAATGAATATCAAAAATAGAAAACATTCCTGATTCCTTGGGTGATTCTGATGATCAGCCAGGGTTTGGAAACTACTAAGGTAGATGGATGGACCTACCTTCTAATTATATATGCCAACTTACATTAACCAGTCAGAATTCAGGTTTGTTAACGTTCCATTTAGCTTTCTTTTTACTTTTTTCCCCTTTCATCTCTTCCATTGCTCTGAGCCTATCCCTGGATGTGCCTAAATCTTATTATTTTGTGTCTGTCTGATTGCCATAGACTCTTATTATTTATTTGCCTTCTGCCTTTTTCATTCTTTCATT